ATATTCAACTACCATTCAGTCCACAACTAAAAACATAATCATTATGGAGTACTGTCCCCTTTATCTGTGAAAAGTGGTTTGCTCCGAACTCTCAGCAAGCAGAAGAGGGAGGGTCAACATGGCGTCTGAACAGGTCCGTTATGTTCTGTATTTCTTGTTATTCTTGTGTTTTTCTCCGCCTTTTTTGCATTTAGTTAACGGAACACTTATATATATGTTTCTAAATAATACGCAATATAAACTGGATTAATTTAAAAAAAAAAGCATACTGGGCTTTTGTCTTGGCTCTATCGGAATATCAGTGTAACAGAAAACATTAGTAGCCTCTGCTATGGGTAGCGAAAGCGTCATATGGAAAATAAATAAAAATCTTATTCTTTTACTAGACCTGCTGTTTGACAGCGAATTTATTACAACACTATGAAGAGAATAAAACTATAGCTGTGTAATATTGATACAGCGGAGAGCAGGTTATTTCCATTTTGCTGCCAAAATGAGTACAGTTTATTTTTAGTTATGGCCAGCGACAGGCTGTCGCGGGTATTTAACAGATGCAGAGAGGACATTGAAAACAGGGAGGAACTAAAAACTTTAATTTAAACCTAAAAAGAAAGTAGAGGCGATTCAAAAAGAAAAGAAAGTCGAGAAAATACAACAGTTGGTGCGTAAACGTGAGATTCTGGGTAAACCAATCTCAATAATCAATATGTGCTCTAAAGCTATAAAATTAGGCCTATGAGTGGATACTCTCAAATACACCCTAACAACTGTGTAATTACATTGTAAAAAGAGGAAAGGTTGTCTTTACTTTCCATTAAAACAACATGAAGGTGTTAATTAATTTAAAAATGCATGCATGTAGCTTTCATTTCTTTCTCCGTTAAAATACTCATAGGTCTTCTTATTTATAAGTTCTTACAGTATAATTAGTTTCTCTAATTGTTACTACCATTTCTTGCTATAACTACATTTTAAGTGTCTACGTTTAGAAACAGTAGGTACTTCAAGTAATTCAGTAGAGTTACGTGGTAAATGTGGGACAGTTACACCATAGATTACAGTTTTTTTATTATATGTTATTACTTGTTATTAAGACTGTAAGCATTAGACCTCAGAGTTTGTTTTCTGGCTTCTAGGAAAGCTCCAATGGGCCAGTGAAGAAGTCCATGCGAGAAAAAGCCATAGAACGCCGTACTATCAACAAGGAGCACAACAGTAATTTCAAAGCAGGCTATGTACCCATAGAGGAAGAGCGTCTTCATAAGACAGGGCTAAGAGGACGCAAAGGAAACATGGCTGTGTGCATCATTATCATCCTCTTCCTCCTCGCCTTAATTAATTTAATTGTGAGTACCTAAAACATCAGTGTATTTGTCTGTGTGTTGCTTTTTTTTAGTGTGTGATCTGTATAATTTGTGCATGCTGTCGCCTCACAGATCACATTGGTTATATGGACAGTGATCCGCATCGGTCCGAATGGCTGCGACAGTATGGAGTTCCATGAGAGTGGCCTGCTGCGCTTCAAACAGAAAGCAGACATGGGTATTGTCCACCCGCTGCACAAGAGCACAGTAGGAGGCCGTAAAGACCAGGATCTGGTCATTGTTGGTAACAACAACCCGGTGAGCAATACAGAGTGTGTTACAGAGTTTAGTAAAAGCTGAGTATTGATAAAAAGACAAGAAAAGCCCATAATGCGCACACATTAAAAACTCTCCTCTTTTATTTAACATGTGTTGCTACAGGTAGTCTTCCAGCAAGGCACTACAAAGCTGAGCGTAGAAAAGGACAAGACCTCAATCGTCAGTGATGTCGGCATATCCTTCACAGACCCTCGGACCCAGACCACATTCTTCAGCACTGACTTTGAAAACCACGAGTTTCATTTGCCCAAAGGAGTCAAAGTCCTCAGCGTTAAAAAAGCTTCCACAGAAAGGGTGTGTACGGTTTCCAGTAACTCACTGATGGGTGCAATAACAAAGTATTTCATTAGTCCTGTCAGTGTTTTATAACCTGTACCAAACATTAGCTAATAATCCATAAAGGTAAAGCAAAACAGCATATTTACAGAACATGGAAAAGTCCCCATGAAGATGCTGAACTTCATCAGTGTAAACAGAAGAAAGGCTCAGTTATGAATTCATCTTTTAACCTTGTGAAAGTTGTTTTCACAAATCTACTTCAGATCTAAACATTTATAGACGCCACATCATGTGAAAGTTTAAACAAAACTGGACTATTCTAAAGAAATATATTTAAATCTGAAAATCTAGAAAGTCTATGGAGGGATATAAAGTTTACAGTTCACCATGACTCCAGTTTATCAGAGGCTGAGAGAACCTGACAGAAAAAACAGGTGTGCAAAGCTGCTAAACAAAGTTTCAAGAAAATTCGTAACAGAGCTGAATTCCAAGCAGTGGTGCCTTTCAAAAGATTCAGAATAAATAATCACAAACAAATATGTTTGCGACATATTTGTGACGCAGGTTCCAAAAACACAGCTAAAGCTAGAAAAATTTATTTTTTTACTTTTTTCCTAAACTTTCTAAACTTCTAGAATAACATGCAAAAAAAGATTTAATTTATATTTCTTTATTTTCTATGAATTTTTAACTTGAAGATGTCAAAAGATGCATATTTGTTAAATTTAGTAACAATAAACCTTTGTGTACACTTTTGTAAATGATTAAACTTTTGATAAAAATGCCACTAGATCTACAAGAAACTGTCAGTTGACCACAATGAACACAATTGTATTACCACAAGCCAAAAATGGAAAAGTTGCCAGCATCACAGAGGAAGCAAATTTCTCTGGCTAACTGCCCAGGTCACACCTCAGGCACATGTGGCTGCGCTGAGCGGGGGGTTCCCTCCTCATCCAGGCTAGCTGGAAAAGGCCCAGCACAGAGTGTGCACATAGTGTGCTATTTATTTTCACATTATACTGTCTAATAAACATCTTAGTGGAAATACAGTAGCCTTAAGAGATATTTGCAGCCATGCTGCATCACATTTAATAAGTGGAGGAAAAAATATTCGTTAAAAATGTCTTTCACAGTATCGTTTTTATTTGATTTTATCTTTTAACTTTTTTGTTAACAGTCTTGTGTTGCTGTTCATAACATTATATTCTAAACTTCATATTCTCTCTGTGACTTTTAGATCACCAGTAATGCAGCATCTGACCTGAACATTAAAGGAGACTCTGCCATCATTCGTGGTAACGAAGGGGTCAACATCATGGGTCGGACAATCGAGTTCAAAATGGGTGGAAACATTGAGCTCAGGGCTGTGAGTATGGAATTTTTCCTACAATAAAGCCGATCGAGTAAAGGGCCAGAAGATCGATGAGTAATGATGATTTGTCTTCGCAGGAGAACAGCATCGTGCTCAATGGATCGGTCATGTTCAATGCCACGCGTTTTCCTAACTCTGCAGGAGATCTGTATTTCAATGAAGGTCAGGAGAGGTACAAGCTCTGCATGTGTGAAGATGGAACTCTGTTCCGTGTGCGGGTGAAATTTACCAACATGGGCTGCCAGACTTTAGATAACCCATGTAAGAAGGCTCACTAGGACTGGAATCTGCTATTGCATCTCAATCAGTCCACACTGAATTCAGATAAACCACTTTCAAATTTATTTTTGATAGTGTGGAGCTCTAATATATAGGACATTCATAATGGCTTGGGCATAATATCTCTGTGGGTCATGTGTCAAATTCTGTGTTTCTTATTATTTTTGCCACTTGGCCAAAGATAAAAACTGTAGTATTTTGTTTTTCTGCAGATTTGCCAACTTGAGATGATATCAGTCTATGTTACTTCTATATAGTAGGACATGAAACACTACACGTACAAAGGCTAATGTACACTATGGAGCCCTACTCTCAAAAACTAGATTTAACTCTCTCTGGGAAGCTGGATTTAAGAAATAAATGTTTCAAGTTTACATTTTTTGAAAATGTTTAGCGCCATCTGGTGCCAGTATAGAACATGACATCACCAGGGCATTTCATTAGTTTATGTTAGCTAACTAATCACAGAACCAGTAACTCAGGTGATAATAAGGACACTAAAACCAAAAAAAGCAGGGATCAAAGGGGATCACTTTTTTATTGCCCCTGGCTGCAATGATGCATTTTATGTTAAAAAAAACCAAGGAAATGCTGATCAATTTCACTTTTTGTCTCTAAAGCAGTAATTGGTTCTTCGTTAATTGGCTAGCTGCATTGAAACAGGAAAATCCACCTGTTATCTGTAATGTTTGGGTTCGTAAAGCACTTTCTAAATGAGCACTGAGTGGAGGAGAGCTTGTTTGAGTCAAGTAACAGGTTGTTTTACCAGACCAACAAGCTGGTGTTAGAAACTCAGGTTTTTTCCTCGTCTGGCCAGATGTACCTAGCAGCGCAATCAGTTAAAGGCCACAACATGCGATCAAATTTATGCAATAAAATTTATGTATGTTTTTATGTATGTTGTGTTGTAAACTGTTTGGATGTGCATAGGAAAAGAGACTATTTTATTGCAAAAATAGTGCTGATTGCATCTTGCAAACATCTGTTTTGCCAGCTGATTGTGCTTCTAGGTACACTCACCTACTGAAGAAACGGTGTGGTATCGGACAGCAGCGTGTCGGTCTGGTGAACCACCTGTCACCTGACTCAAACAGGGTCTCCTCCACACAGTCCTCATTCATAAAGTGCTTTATAAACCTTTGTAAACGAGTGTTGGTCACCTACTGTGCCTAACAGGAGGATTTTACTGTTTCAATGCAGCTAGCCAAACAACAAGGGAACCACTTACTGCTTAAGAGACAGAAAGTGAAACTGAATATAGCTTTGTTTTTGTTTTTTTTGATAAAATTTATTGTTGCAGCCAGGGACAGCACAAAAGTGATACCCTTAGACTGCTTTTTAGTTTTAGTGTCCTTATTCTCACCTGAGTTACTGGTTACTAGTTAGCTAACATAAGCTAATGTAAGTCTATAAGCTGCAACCAATAAGGGTGCAACGATACACAAAATTCACGGTTCGGTTCGATACTTTGGTGTCACGGTTCAATATTTTTTCGATACAAAAAAAATGTTCATGCCTTTTTAATTTGTCATTTATTAAAATTGTAAATATATATTTTAACTCAAAAGTACAGTTTTTAAATTTAATGTTGCTGAAACAACAAAGTAAAAAAAATACATCTATCTGATTGAGGAATCACTCATCTTTGGAAAAGAGAGTTTATTACAGGGAAATGGCTCTTTCCAAAATAAAAGCTATACTATACGCTTCTTCTGGGCTATATTCTCAGCAGCATATTAAACATATCAGGTCCCCATAAGGAGAATCATGTGCTAACAGCTGTCTAAATGACTCGGGTAAAGTTTGTAGCATGCGTGCTTGTTGTTTTTGTCTGCTTCCACTTGTCTTTGCACTAGGATGATGTCGGCGTAAATGTGCAGTCATATTCGTTGTGTTCCCACTAGTGCTGTCAGCGTTAATCTCGTTGAACTGACGTTAACGCCACAACACGGCAAATCTCCGTTAACGAGCTACCGCGGATCGCCCCGTGCGTGGGGCTGGACGGCCAACACGTTAACGAGCAAACTGCGCTAACGCACTAGTTCCCACCAATGTAATTGAGCATTGCGTGGCACATCCGACATACTGTTTTACTTTTGTCCATGACGCGCTTACCTTCAGGGTCATACGTCACATGAAAACCAAAATAGTTCCAAACGCCAGATCTGAATGAGGGTGGGGGAGGTTCAATTTGCCATGTTGCAACGAGAGTCAGTCTCTCTAGCTTGCCCTGCGCTCAGTGAATCTGCGTTCGACTACTCCGCCTAGGCTGCACTGTCGAGCGCAGATCCACTGAGCGCTCAACACAGACAGCATCGTCAGAAGGAAAGTTGATAAAATAAATAAACAATTTTGTATTGTTCGATACATATGCGTACCGAATGGTTCAATATCGATACGAGTATTGTTGCACCCCTAGCAACCAACCAACCCGGTGATGTCGTGTTCTGTACTGGCACAAGATGGCGCTAAACAAGATCAAAAAATGTAAACTTTAAATAGTTCTTCCTTCAATCCTCTGCAAAGACAGAGTTAAATCTATGTCAGTTTTTGAGATAGTGTAAATTAGCCTTTATACATGTAGTGTCTCATGTATGCTTTATTGGTATTATTATTGTTTTCACTCCCCTTTAGCAGTAATAAGCAGATACAATATTTATTTTATTGGCTTGCCGTCCAGTATTAATAATATAAAAACCCTACATGGGGTTTGTCTAAGATCCCATTTGCCGTTTCATTATTCCGGGCAGCTGTGTGATATTTTCTGTCATATTAGCTGACATGTGGAAGACACTACACGACTGTAATGATGTATGTAAAACTTGCAGGCAATGCAATGCACAGAGTTAATGATAAATTGTTATACATGATACATTTTAAGCCATCCAGTGATGCTAAAGCAGAGTAGGTTTCTTTCTGCATATCTCGGGCTGTTTATCATGCACGTGCCAATGGATATACAAGGGACTATATATCATTAGATATATGTGTAATATTTTAATTTTGTTGCAAAAGCTTTTTTAACAACAGAAGAATACAATATTGAAAAAACAGTGTGCACTACATTCTGCTACAGATTAATGCAAATGTTGAGAATTTTAGTTCATCAGCTACTGTGGGTGCAACCTATATGGGGTTGTTTGAATTTTGTGCAATATAATATATAATATTTGACTTTGCTTTGGATTGTCTTGTCTGTTGTCAACTGATGTTAACGATTACTGATGTTAACGTCAATAGTTGTTCTCAGAGCACAGACTTCATGCCTGTCATGAAAGAACAGCTTATTTGATCGAAGAAAAACCGAAGAAATAAATATATTGCGACCAGCCTTATTTGGAAATTTGTCCAACGTTTCATTGGCATGTTTGTTTCAATAAAGAAATGTGTTGCTATGTGAAAAGTGTTATCATTGTTTCAGTAAATGCGCCCACGGTCATTTAAAACCATAAAAGCGTACTGCGCCTCATTATAGCGCTTTATTGTCTAATAGAATGCAAAGTATGAAGGTTTGGTCTTCGCCATAAACTTACACCATCACAGTAAGACTGTGACAGTAAGACATTAACCAGATGTGTAAATGATTGTATGAATCGCAGAGCAGCTTCTTTGGGCAGGGACGTGTTAAGCTAGACGCAGCAAAATACACCTCAGACTTCGATCAGAACTTGCTTGAGACAGCTGAAGTAAAGCTCTCCGGGTGTGAAGAGTCACAAGGTTTCATGTCAGTTTGGCAAAGAGTGGATGCACAGGTGAGTCTTCAGTTCATTTACTGTGTGTTTACTTTTATATTTAACCTTTTTTTAACCCATCACTGGTGATGAGCGTAACCCGAGGTTTTTGAAAAAGAGAAAAACCTTTTATGGGTAAATATATAAATACTTTTAGATGTGTGTCCATTAGGTTGTCTTTCAAAAAAATAAACTTACATATTCAGATTGCATAGTGTTTAGGTTGGGCTCATCACCTATTATAACGTAGACCTCATGTTCATGTAATAGCTTCATTTTTATTGCCGTGAATGCTAATTTAAACCTATCTGTGAAGCAAAAATAGTTCTTCCTTTTTAATTTATTTCTAAGTGCAATGTGACAATCTGTACTCTCAGGGCAGCTTGTGATGGCAGCACCGCAGGGGCCTTTTTTGGCCGCTGTGTTAGTCCTTGTGTCTTCGCTTCTCTGCTCCTCTTCCTCACCTGCATGTCTGCAGTCCTGCACCTGTCAGAGTGCTTTCCTGTTGAACTGTTCCTCAGCTGGCCTTTCCTCGGTGCCCCAGCACATCCAGGACTCTGTCACGGAGCTGGACTTTTCTCATAACCTCCTCAAATCTGTAACATTTCACCAGCCACATTATAACCTCAGGAGTGTGTGGCTGGGAAACAACAGTATCACACGTTTGTCCCTGTGCACTGGAAGAAACCTCGGTGGTCAACATCTTAGAGATAAATATCGCTCAAGACCTTGGACCAGACGGAAATGTGTATCTTGGGCCCCCACCCTGCAGCTGCTCTCTGTTGAGATGAATCAGCTACGCCAACTCCCAGAGGGTGAGTCAGTGTTATATGGTTGTAAACTAATAAATAAAACACTGTCAAAGCACATAAACATACACATTTTCACACGGATAAAAACTGCTACCAGTCAGCACTAACTGAAAACCTGAAAAATGTAATTAATTTCATTTAAAAGTAATTTCACTGCCAGGTGAATCTGCAGGTGTTTTAAAAGATTTCAATATCACTTAGCATTATATATGCAGTGCAGTATTTCCCGGTGCTTCAACAACACTCATCTTCTATAGAAGAATTGTGTTTTCTGGTGAATTTTCATCAAACTTTCATCTCATGCAAGGGAAAATATTTAAACTGCTGTAATAAGAAAGAACTGGAAAAAAATGATAAAAAGTACAATTTAGCACGAATAGATCGTGCATAACATTAGCAGCAGTTTAAGTTTGTAGCTAATTTTTGCTGTAAAACTCAAGGCACAGGTATCTATTGGAAGGATGAAAAATCATTACTTTTAAATCCATCATATCATTTGGTGTCCAAATGATGATAGCAGCGCATGCTTTCTAACACTGTTGCTCCAGAATTGTTTGGTGATTAGTTTAGTTAACATCCATTTAATATTCATGTGTCATTTTGAGTCCATAATGCACATTTTTTGTTGATATTATCATCCTGAAAGACATCACTCTCTTGAGAAAACCTTCCTAGTAAGGGGAATCAAACCATGTAAGCAAAATACGTCTCCCAGAGTAAGAAGCCACTTTTCGTTTTACAGTAGGATCAAAGGTTAAAGATTTTCCTTTAATGTGTCAACCATTTGTTTATAACAATCCACTACAAGTGTAACATTTCCCACAAAAATGTAATGAAATCTAAGTATAAAGAGAAGAAGGTTGACTCAAGCAAAAGTAAAACTACCTGAAAACTGTTCTTCATTACAGTGCTTTAGTAAATATACTTACTGTACTTTACAATTCTGTTGAACTTGCACATACTGCAGAATTTAATAATCCTACAAACTACAATCACAAAATATTAGACATTAATATCAGCACAATTCTC